GTATATTTATTGTAAAATCAAACTCATTCGCCAAATGTAAACAAACCGCACGATTGCATAATCATTTATCTATGGCATGGAACACCAAAATCCGATAAATAATTTCAAAAAATGTGTTCCTCCGGAAGAAAAGCGGAGGTTTTCAGGATTTTTTTAGAAATATCCGGAAGACTTTCATTATTATTAACCTAACTATGTAAAATAACCATCCCATTCCTGGAATCATCCTCCATTAAACTCCTTCCAATAAGTTAACATCCTATTTTCAAGGGATACCAAACTGTACACAGTATTCCAGGTGAGGCCTGTCTAGTGGTTTGTATAAAAATAATTAACTCTTTTAACTTGTAATCAACATGTATATAAATACACTTTAAAATTATATTGGTTTTACAACTAGTAATGCATCGATTGTTTTTAAGTAACTTATCCCCACTGTGCCAGAATCCTTTTCAGGCATGTTATTGAGTGATCCAAGTTATGATAATACAAATGCTTTACCTTGCACTTACTATAATTAATGGTCACTTGCCAAATTTTTGTCCAACTTACCTACTGATCCAAGTCATTCTATAACATCCCAATATCCTCAATATAGCTAGAAATTTTTAAGTTTAATGTCATCAGCAAGCTTTACTAATTACTCCACTATCAATATCATTAATTTAAATAAGAATGAGCAAAAATCCATGCACAGATTCCTGAGGAACTCCACTAGTCACAAGGGTCCAGTTTGACTGGACTCCACAAATAAAATCGTGGTTTAATTGATTCTGTGAACAGGTGGTTTCAATCTCATTTTGTACTAGATGTTTGTGTGTTTACATACACCTTAAAAATTGTCATAGGTATTATTAATGAGATATTGTTATATTTCTTATGTTGTTGTTTGTTTTATTTCAGATGTTAACTAGAGGGAGAATAATGTTAAGATCAAGTAAGTTTGTGGGAGTAGCTCTGGAAAGTTTTGGCTTTGACGTCACAAAAATCTAGTAAATTCTGGTAGTATTGAAAGACAAGACTAGATTACAAGCACGAGAATCAGCTAGCTAGTGGATAGTGAAGCATCGAGTAGTATAGTGCGAGTCAGTTTAGTTCTGTGAAGTATATTTATTTACATGATTCAATTAGCTGTGGAATTGTGCCAGTAAGTTTTTTTTTTTACATTAATTGTAGTACATTGACAGGGTGTTTTCACATGAACATCATTTGTAAACTTAAGCCAAAAAGTGTATAAATTTGTAGAAATGATAAGGACAAAATAAACTAATCTCTCATCATTATGTGGACTGCACTGCCAATTTTCTCCAAATAATCTAAACGCACCTACCCAACCAAAGAACAACGTTATATTTGGAAGAACAAATCACATTAGATGCACAATTCTAGTTAGATTTGCTTCATATTTCTTGACTTATTTATATACGAATCTTTCTAAACATCAGTTCTGAAAGTTGTGGGCCCTAACTAAACCCCAATCACCCCTGTAGCTTTGAATACCATAAAGCTGTCTTTGTGATATTATGGATCCCAATTACCCTGCGAGACTTTGATGCCCAAACAGTAGTGCCCCCAGCCATAATACAACAGTTTCTGTGTTCTGGTAATACTTACTAAAAGGTTTTCAAATAGCTTAAGGATTGGATACACGAACCACTTGCTATTACTTTTTTGTAATTCCTTCAATAGTGGGCAGGGGGACAGAAGATTGGAAGTTGGTTAATGTTACTCCTCTTTTCAAGGGAGATGACAAAAATTGTCCCAATAAATATAGGCCTATTAGTCTTACATCAGCTGGTGGAAAAAGTTTTGAAAGTCTAATAAAAGATGCTTTGCAAAATCATTTAATAAAGTTTAAAATTTTGTTGGATAGTCAGCATGATGTTGCTTGGGGGAAAATTTTGCCTTACTAATTTTTTGAAATTCTGTGAAGACATAACTGTTTACATAGACGAGGGTATGTGTGTAGATTTGGTGTATCTGGATTTTCAAAAAGAATATGACAAGGTGCCACAAAAGGCTTGTTAAAAAAGCTATTTCTGTAGGTATGGGGGAATAGGTTGGCTCATTGGACAGAAAACTGGCTAGATGGAAGAAAGCAGAGGGTTGTTATAAATGGAGTTATATCAAACTGGTTTAATGTCACGTGTGGGATACTTCAGAGCTCAGCATTAAGACATTTCCTCTTTTTGATTGACATAACAATATAGATCAAGGTATGGACAACCGATTATTTAAATTTTCTGATGACATTAAAGTTTTGGATATGCTGGGTTTGAAGATTTGGATTATTTAGGGAGTTGGGTGAATAAATGGCACATGGCTTTTACTTGTAATAAATGCAAAGTAATGCATGTAGGATATCACAATATGAATTATAAGTATAATTTTGATGGGAATAACTTATCACTTATTTTGTATGAAAGACACATACGAAACTCCAGGAGTAATTGGCGAAATTAACTGTAATATTGATGTTAATGTTGTTTAAATTTTGTTTATGTGACTCGTATGTTATTAAAAACCCAGTAACCAATAACATCATGGACCCACAAACAAATTGGTGTAAAAATTAAACAAGTAAATGTGCTTAAAAATTTGATGCTATTTACAATCTTAAAAAAAATCATACTTCTAATGTAAAACCTTCTAGGTGGTGTTAAAAATTAATTATAAATCAGTATCATTCCTATAAATCACCAACAGAATTTCACTGCATGAGAGAAATGTTTATAAATATAAATGTAACAGATAGTAATTAATTTTTCCTAGTTTTAGTAATCCACAAAATCGGCTCTAATCTCAACTGTTTGTTGTGGATCCTTAAATTCATGGACTTGATAGGACTTATTACAGTTGTAGTAGTTACTGGTTTCATATCGAAGGTTTAGTAAGAGCCTTTTAAAAGTGACTCAACTAGGGTTTGAAAAAAATTTATATACATTAAATCTCGAGTCTAACTTTTATGTCTAACCTCTCTTATAGCTCTATCAAAAAATTTAAACCAAGGACTTTTTCTGTTCCTCTCAAACATTTACTGTACTTATTAATTTATCTTCTGTGGTCCTCAAAATAATTCAATTTCTACTTGATTGATATCAATTTGTTACGATGTTAGAATGAAATTTATAACCTTAACAGCTTATATTATAAAGACTTAAAGAAGTAAATCCTCATGTAGTAAAATTATTGAAACTCGGACAAAAGTTGTTTATAGCAATGGAAAGGAGAGCAATATGCAAAAAACATAAAAATTGGAATCATTTTACTGATGCAGGAAAGAAACATTAATATTTACACAAAAATTAAACTTGAATTACTGCAAAGTCCGTGTGTTAGCCAAGGATGTAATGAAAGACACCGCATGTCACTGCTAGGGTATCTACTACAAAATGCTTATTTCTTTGACTGGCTATGTTCTTAAAATTGCTATAATTACCAAAGCAATAGTTTCCCTAACTTTCTTAATACTGTGTTCAATTTCCCCAGAATAATATGCTCTTATATTTATACATATTATCTTGGAAGGCAAAAAAAAAAAAAGAGCAAGTATTGATATTAGCCTGATACACAGTCTAATTAGTATACCTTATATTTTATTACCTACATTAACTGTAGTATTTTCTTCTAGTTTCAAAACTTGTTACCAGCAAGCACTCTTTTAAATCTTAGCTTAAAATTATTCCTTCTACTGTACCAATATGAAGGCATTTGTGTTTTGTATATATTTGTGTTTTGTATCTATTGTAAAGCTACTAAGGCTATCTGCTGCCATCCCTAACTTTGATTTAACTACTGACCCGAGGGAAGGAAGCCAGTCAGCAGAACCGTACTACCCACATTAAGGGAGTAAATTTCACTCTTATAATGCACCCGATAGCTTAAAATGCAGGGAATATTTTGTGGTATCACAAGAATTCAAATCCAACTCACCAGCTCCGAAATCCAAAGCTCTAACACAAAGCCAACCTGCACCATACAATTACAAAATGAAGGAGCAAAATAATTGTTTTAAAGTACAAAAATGATACAGTTATATTTTACTTAGAAAAATACCAAAAAAGCAAAATGAGGGTCACTGTCTCTTACTAAAAAATTAATTTAAAGCCCCATTAAACAACTTGTCTGCTGAATAACTTAGAAGAATAAGCAGTATAAATGCTACATATTTTTCAAATCCTGTATAAATATAGGTTCATTGTGGCAAGTAAATGGAAATTAAAAACATCATACATATAATATTAATTTAGAGTTTGGCAATTTATCTAATTTTCAGAGTACTTTAAGTAGGCCTATATTATATATACATAAATCTACTAACAAAACAAGTTTACTATCGGTTTACACAGAAACATTAGGTTTAACTTCAGAAATAGTAATTACTATTATTACATGTACTATTACTAGATCGACTAGCAACATACATTTATTGATTTAAATTTTGACACAAAGAGAGTAGTTTATACCTTCAAATTCAATGGCTTCATTTCATAGGTCACAGCTTCAAGTTCAATAATATATATATATATATATATATATATATACTTAGGAATTAACATAGCTACTTAAAGTTACATATACTGTTCAAACTACATTGCTTTAATACATATAACTTATACAAAAAAATAGAAATTAGAATGCAGTTTCATCAACCAGTACCAATACCAGGGCTGTTACTGTTATCGATATTTTCACTTTCAGCCCTAAGACTAAGAGCAAGATTATTTGTTGTAGTAAAAATCTAAACTGGTGGGACCCAAATATTATTCCTAACCTGTGTGGATTCGAGAAATGAAGCATGATGATGATGATGATGATAGTGATAACGACGACAATGTCTCTTCACATGCTTTTTCCCCGGTTTAGGAGACGCCATTCCATTGCCAACAAAAACTTTACAGCACACATAGATGGTGTGTACTTTCAGACTCAATTGATGCTAGCCTACCTAGATCGTTCCGCCTGCAACAGAGGGTGAAACATTAATCGGTTGTTGCAGTTTTGAATGACAATTGCAGCCTTAACAATGCTAATATTATGCAGAAGTGCTGATTGGATGCAAGTAAAGTAAAGTTGACTCAACCTTTTACTTTTATACGATTAGTTTACTACAACCTCACTGGCACAAAACCAGTACCACCCACGAGTCACAAGCTCAAAGCAATCATCATGGTAGACTCATCGACCGGAAATCTTTGGAAAGTTCCTAACACAATTTATTTTCTATATTAAAAATGAAAATAATTAGGTATAACATTACTTTTGTCCGATTTTATCTATATGTTTGCTTAAAATAAAATAATCCATTTAAATATTTGAAATAAAGAATGACGTAATACAATTTAATTGGGGGAGTTTTCTGAGGGGGGGATACGGTATTATAAACAGGTTTGGCGCATGCTCTTCTTGTTTAACTGCCGCTTACGAAAATGGCAGCAGCGACGAAACAAGATTTACGTAGTATGGAAATAAAGACCAAGTCAATCGAACAAACATTAATTCCTTTGGTGACTCAGGTAAGAAAAAAATAGTAATTTGTTTCACTCAGTGTTTTTGGTTTTTTTTTTGCGATTTCTTTGGATGTTTATAACTTATTGCACGAGTTCTGAGTTTAGAAGTGTATATAGCACCGGTAGAAACACATGTACCGAAAGACGTTCAGCGTGGGTTCTCTTTCCACTGTCAGTTCTTCAAACCACGAGCTCTGTTCTGTAATCAATGTTACATTGGCAAATAATATTAGCTGAATACAAATTTAACGAACACGTATATATATAAATTTATCGAGCAAGTATCTACATATAGATAATAAAATAGTAAGTAATATAACGCTATATAGTGAGTTGTGGGTTCCAACCAAAAAATAATACATTATATAGATTTAGAATGGTCAAAGGTGAACCTTCAACTCTTTTGAAGGCATGTGGAGTAGATCGTGGGATAAAAGTACTTTTCTCTGTTTATTTTGTATTAATACATGATAATTAATTATGAAATTATTTGAATCTATTTCAAGTATGATTTACCTTTTGTAACTGGACAGTTTAGATATCGGTGACATTTTTAAAACTTAGTAAATGATTTTTTATGTAGTGAATATTATATTGAATGAAATGGGGAGTGTTATATAGTTTTCCAATAATGTCCCATTTGAACATAGTTATCATTAAAAATGAAATACTTAAAAAAAAAAGGCGGACATAATATTATGATTTGAATGATCCTTCACCCTCAGGAAAACTGAAACAGTTTTAATTTATCTGTAAATGTAGTAACACGTATTTATTAAAATTCTACTGTTTGTTAAGTCCACTTATATGCATAACGCTGAAACGTGTTGTGTTCTACCAGTCATCGTGATAATTATTTCGTTCGAGCTTACTCAAGGCACGTAAACCTCAGACCATTTATTTGAATTTCGTTACATCACGCCGTTCTGCTCAACTGTATAAAGTTAGGTACGTCTACATCGGAAATATTTTTATCGTCTTTCCTCTAGCAAATTGAATTGTCGTCCCTAATTAACCATAGCTCGTGAAAAATATAACTTGTCATTATATCACTTGGTTCGTTAGTAAAAGTTTACAAAGCTATTGCCTCTAGTGTCATTTGACGAAAAAAGTTTCGGTAACCTGTGAAAAACTGAGAATGTCAACAGTATGTAACGATCGTCTTTTTGGGGGTCATTCAGTGACTGGTCTATATATGGATTTTAATTTACAAGTTTTTGACTTCAAATACTCTTAAACCAATAAAAACCTTGTTAAAAACCATATATCATTTAAACACACAAACACCTTAAAAAATCTGTGCTACTTTATCTGAAGGCAGTAATTGAAAAGCCAGTTCTTAATACGACGAATACTAAGATGTACTATCGATAGGTTAAACAAGACCGATTCTTTCCCCTAAGATTACGTGACCATTCACCAGAGATATTTCGATGCGTGTAAGAGTTGTGCAGAATCTGTAGCTAGGTTATAAAGGTCCGCGGGATTTTTTTAAAGTGTTTTCGTAGTTTGGAAAATTGATTTTCAACGGTAACAAATTACAAGTACCGAGCCACTGAAAAACTGAATTTTATAATACTTAACTGCATATATATATATGTATGTATGTGTGTGCGTGTATGTTCATATATATATAATTAGGTGTTTCTGTCATAGAATCTATTTAGAACAGCAAACCGATAAAGGTTAAAGGTTAGATGCACTTTAATAATATCCGAAAATGTTAATTAAGTGCGTCTACCCTTTAACCTTCTGTTGTTGGATTGATGTAAGTACATAGACAAAGAAGAGAATGACGATAAAAGAACTTAAGCGTTTATATATATATATATATGTGTGTGTGTGTGTGTGTGTGTGTAGGGAGAGAAACGATATAGAATTATCATTTCAGTATAGTATATTTCTGTTCGGACAGAACACAAGGTCACAAGTATTACTGCAGCAAAAGTAATCTTTCTGACACCATTTATTTGTAATATATTGTTGCGTCAGCGAGGTCACGTGACTAGTATCACGCCACTTCCTTCTCGAACCTTCGTGAATTGTCGGGAGATTACTAGATTGGGGGTAGTATGGTATATTATGTATATTATGTATATTATGTATATTATTAGTATGGTAACAACGTGACGGGG